GGGGGGGGGGGGGGGGGGGGCAGCCCGGCCGGACGATAGGGGCGCAACGTGGTGTGGGGCCGTGTGGCTGATCGGCCCCCATGGGCCAGCGGTCCCGCCTGGCGGGGGCGGGCCACGCGATCGGGAAGCCCCCTTCTCCTTCCCCCCCCCCTCCTCACCCTCCACCCTTCGCCCTCCGCCCTCCGCCCTCCGCCCTCCGCCCTTCGCCCTCCGGGTTTTGCTCTCCACTCCCCGGCCTCGCCTGGTGTGCCCATACATCGCCGCCCCTTGCCCAGTGCCCTTGTCCCATCCGACCCCATCCGACCCCATCCGACATGCTCTCCTCGCATGTCAGCCGGGGATCTGCCCACCGGTGGGCTCCCCTCCTCTCGGCACTGGCACGCCGATCCCTTTCCTCGTCATTGGCGTCACCGGCTGTGGCCGAGCAGCCGGCCCCACGCCCCTGGGTGTATGACATGACCAAGTCCGAGCTCATTGCTCGGATGCAGGAGTTCGACTTGGAGCCGTACCGCGCGCGCCAGGTACGTCCGGGCACTTGCCACCCCCCCTTTCTGCATGCCCCTTCAGTTGCCTCTCCGGAGGCCACCGGGTGCCCTTGGTCCGGCCTTCTGCTCGCATGGTGTGTGTGTGTGTGTGTGTGTGTGTGTGTGTGCGCTGACATAGTCGCCGGAATGGGGGATAGCTCTGGTCGTGGATCTATCAGCAGGGCGTGGTGGACCCCTACAAGATGACCACCTTCTCGTTGCCCTTGCGAGAGCGCCTGGCGCGAGAGATCTTCCAGTTTGGTCTGCCCAGCGTGGTGGATCCCCTGCGCAGTGATGACGACACGCGCAAGTGGCTCCTTCGCCTGGACGGGTCGCTGGTGATGCCGGAGTCCATTGGCCCGGACCGGCCGTGCGTTCATGCGCCTTTCGACCCGGAGCGCGGGATCGGCCTTCGTCCTGACCTGCAAGATGAGGGCCCCGGGATGTGGAAGAGCCTCGCCTCGGCAGCCAAGAAGCCGGGCGTCATCGAGACGGTGTTCATCCCACGTGGCAGCACCGGCACCGCGTGTCTCTCGTCTCAGGGTATGTGGTGATGGTCTTCTCCTTCCGGGGCATGGCCCTGGCTTGCTCGTCATCTTTGCCACTTGCTGCCCCATATCCCCATCTGACTCTCCGATTCCGGCCTCCTCCCCCCGCTTCGGCTATTTGCCCGCGGCCTGCTGCCATTCAGTTGGCTGCTCGCTCCAGTGCTCGTTCTGTCGGACCGGGGCCATGTCCAAGGCCGCCTTGCGGAATCTGTCCAGTGGCGAGATCGTCGCGCAGTTCCTCTCGCAGCGCTTGGCTCTCGGCGACTTCCCAAGCAGCCGGCCAGAGCGCATTGTCAGCAACATCGTCATGATGGGCATGGGCGAGCCGCTGCTCAACTACCGGAACTTGACCCGTGCGGTGGAGGTCCTCTCCTCGGAGGATGGTCTGGCTCTGTCGCGGGTGCGTAAGGGCGTTTCTTTCCTCCTCCCCCGCCCCTCTGCCGCCTTTGTCTTTCGTTTCGAAAGAGTGCAGCATGACTGCTCCCTGCACACGCATGCAAACGGATTACTGACACACACACACACACACACACACACACACACACACGCACACACGCACGCACGCACGATGTGCATGCAGCGCCGTATCATCGTTTCCACGTCGGGCATCGTGCCGCTGATCGAGCGCATGGGTCATGATCTTGGCGTGGAGCTGGCGGTCTCCCTGCATGCGGTGAACGACCGCCTGCGCGATGAGCTGGTCCCCATTAACAAGCAGTACCCAATCGAGATGCTGCTGGATGCGTGTCGGTGCGCCGGCGCACTTGCGCCACCTGCCTCGACCATGGCCATAGCCTTCGGCTTGCCCTTTACCCTCCGTGTCCCTAACCGGTCTTTGCTGCCTGATGGACGTGCGAAAATAGGAAATACCCCACGAATAAGCCCGCCAAAAAGGTGACCTTCGAGTATGTCATGCTGAAGGGTGTCAACGATTCCGTGGAGGAGGCCCGTCAGCTGGCCCGCCTCCTGCGGCCGATCCCCTCGCTAGTAAACCTCATCCCAGTGCGTCTCCCCCCCCCCCCCCCGGTTGGTGCATCTTTCTCTCCTCCCTTCTTCCGACGCACACACGCACACACGCACACACGCACACACGCACACACGCACACACGCACACACGCACGCACACACACACACACACACACAAGCGCGGGCAAAAGAAAACAAACATGCAGTCGCTCGCCGTCGAGCGCGCACATCTGCATGTGCCTGTGTTTGAGCGTGGCATGCTCAGGAAAGGTCGTCCACTCACCGCCATGTTTGCCCCACTGCTTGCAGTTCAACCCGTGGGAAGGCTCCCCCTATGGGACCTCCACGGTTGAGGCCATCGAGGCCTTCACGGCGGCCCTGCACGATGAGAGTTCCCGGCACCGCGGGCAGATTATCCATGTGACAGTGCGGTGGCCCCGCGGTCGAGACATCATGGCTGCCTGTGGGCAGCTGGCCAACAAGGGGGTGGCTCAGGCTAGCCGGGCATCGGCCCTGGTGGACAGCCTCCCTGCCGCTGGCGAGTCACCTCCCGTGGGCGAGTCCGGGGCCGCGGCTCAGGCCTGAGAGTGGTGCGGCTCTTTGGGCCTTCCTCCACCTGCTGCAGGTGACTCGCCGGTAGAAAGTGGGGCAAAAAGAAGAAGAAGAAACAAGCAGGTATTCAGGCAAATGAGGCAGCCTAAATCGACGCCAGTCCAGGGGCCGATCATGGCCAGCCCCCCCCCCCTTCAATAATAGACACCCCTTAGGGGCAACCAAGCGCCTACGCCAGCCCTCCCCCATATGCATGTGAGCACCTGTGAATGTGGCTTTCGTCCATGTTGCGCGTGCGGAGCGGGTGCAAAGAGCAGCGAGGCAAGGCCCGGGGCCAAAGGCAGTCCCCCGACAGAGAGGGACGAGGGCGGTGGATGGGGCATAAGCGGATGGGGAGGCCGACGAGTCCCCCATGCAGGGCCATACCACGCGCGTGTCCTCGCGCGGGGGCGGGGGAAAGCGGCACAGCAGGGCGAAGAATCCACAAGCCCAAAGACGCCACGCCGAGCGTTGGCACCTGGCCGATCGCCGGGTTTCCACCGGATCGCCCGCCCGAGTGAATCGTCGCCCTTGTGCCCTCGGTCTGTCCTTCGCCTGGGGCAGCAACTCGTTCGGGCCGGGTGCATGGCGGTGGCCCTGGACCAGCCGGTGTATCCGTCGCCCCCCCCCCCCCCCCCCCCCCCCGCGTCACCACCATGTCTAGAGGGGGCAGGCTCAAGCCGGGAAAGGGCTCCAGACTGGATCATACGACCGCTCTTCCTCTCCTCCCCCCATACATCTATTCCTTTCCTTCCCCTCTCTGCTCTTCGTTGTCCCTCCCCCCCCCCCCCGCCCCTCCCTCGCTTCCTTTGTCTCTGGATCACCTGTGTGCGTCCACGCCGTAGATCTCCCCAGCCCTCTACTGCTCGCGGCTGACCCCCCATCCACCCGTGCCCTTGCCTCGGCCCTCGCTTGGCTCCGTGCAGAAAGCGCCCAGCCTCCTGTGCGACCTCTCCATTTCCCAGGAAAGGCAGACACACTGTCCAACCCACCGGCGTTGGGGAGGTAGCCCTGCAGCGAGTGACTTGACGACTTTCTAGCATCCACTTGCCCCCTGTGATTCGTCACAACCGAAGACGGACGTCCTCTTTTCCCCTGGCAGGCTCTCGACACCATGTCGACCGACGACACTGGGTCTGCTGTCGAGCCAATGCCCCTGGTTGATACCATGGATGCCATGGCTGATGCATCCACCATGGGGCATATGTCTGCAACTGAGGAGTCGCCTGCTGTCGAGGAAACTTCCTCAATGTTGGAATCGCCTATGACCTTGGAGCCGCCTGCTGTCGAGGAGCCGCCTGCTGTCG